ATCCGTTCTTTTACATTATCATAAACAGCATCTAAGGGAGGTAACTCGTCCTAAAACAAGATGATGACGTCCATGAAATTAATTTAAGAATGTCATTTTAAATAATCCATTTGATTGCATGCCAGTTCAATATCCAACACTTTTATTTTTTTTATTGTAAATTTTCTCTCTTCAGGGGCCACATCTATGTTTTTAAAATTAATCCTAAATTGTCGTCACGATTCATGTTTGTTTATATTAATGCAAAAACTATTGGATTTATTGTGGGATTATTGACTTGGCCAAAGATACTGGATAATCAACCACATTAAAAACCAAACTCCCGGTTACGCATGGGCAATGGACTTTACGTCAAATATTGACAACGGTCCCAGGCCTTCCGTACCTTGAAGACTATGAAGTTCTGGGTGACCGAGACTATTTTTTTTATTATTAAATTGTAGTCTCATTTTGACCAAGTGTGTTGACAGCAAAACATATACTCGATTGTCATATACTTCGGCAACAGAACATGCACTGACTCTTGTTAGCGTTTTCTAAAGACGTATACAATTTAGAATGGAGTCAATACTTTTATTTTTGACCCAGGCCTTTCATTATTTTTTTTATAAATTGGGCATATATATATATATATATATATATATATATATATATATATATATATATATATGTATTATCGTCACCCCTGTTCGTCTATCTGTTCACTATTTCTTTTCAAGAAAGTAAAATCGAGCTTTGTGATGGCAGTTTCACATAACAAGGGTGTTCAAGAGTTATTGCAATTAAAGTCTTTAATAGGAATATGTTAAACTTGCAGGTATGTGTTGTAGCATGATGAAAATGTGCCCAATCAACATATCAAATTTCATGCTATTGATCTAAGTTACCCCTGGACAGCCTGTTAAATAATATGCATCCTCAAGGGAAGTGTTGTGACATCATGAAGGGATGTCCTTTTTCATATTTCCGGTAGTCTTGTATCAACTTCTCAATAGAGTACTAAATTTGCCATAATATTAATATTATCGGCTTTATTGTTCTATTATAGTTTGTGTATTTACTTTGAAAAAGTAATTTATCTCGTAGGTGAAGAATTGGGTACGTGGCGCCGGACAGTTATAGATAACTAACTATATATCATCATTATTGTGATGGACGACGGGCTATCTCACACCTTATTATGTATCGTAATGACCTTCTCTACAGCTTGGTTCAACGTAAGACACATTAGTCATATCACGTCACTTGTAATAAGTGTCTATTTCCTAAAGACTCTCAAATACACTTATTCGATACATGACATTTTGTATCTTTAACAAAAAGAATATCTATACCCCACTGTTAACTGGGAGTTAGGAAGTCGGTGGGGGGTAAGATTTGTTTTGTGATCCAAAAGGTAGTAAAGACGGACCGAATTAATATAAACATACAATACTATTCAATAACTAATATTATATCTATTAATTAATGAAAATACCCATACCCCCCCCCCCCCCATTGCTGTTACGATTGTCTTATGTTAAACACACATTATGCAAGAGCTAAATCTGCATATTGCCTGTCTTTCCTTTCTTTAGGCCTGAAATGTTATCTAAATTATTAATTAGACATTTATTAACTTATCCAGACCATAACCAACTCTCGATGTCATCGCTATCCTGCGATATTTATTGGATTAGGATCCGATTTGCTGCTCAACTTTCATTCATGATTTAACAATGAAATGGGTAATCGAGACTATGTTTTTTTATCGTACCGACTTTAGTAAATGATAGTCGAGGCTATATAGGCCAAATATTCAATCGCGAAATTCTCGATTCAGAGTGGATTTTGACTGAAATTTTCAGCAAGTTCTCTTTACATTATCTAGTTTTTAACTATTATAGTGAAAACTGCCAGCTCTTTATCTAATCTCCCATAATGTATCTTTATGCTGCGTTTGACAAAAACAAATCCTTGCCTTCTTCCCAGCCAAATTTTGAATTCAAGTTTCGATGCTACATCATGTGAAAAGAATATATAACCCTGGGGTCTGTTTCACGAAATTTTAACTAAGATAAAATCCAAAATTTTAGTAATTTGATTGGATAATAATAGATTGATTTTAGTGCTTAGCCAATCAAAATTGAAGAATATACTAAAATTTGGATTTAATCTTTAGTTAAGATTTCGAGAAACAGGGCCCTGAACTGTCAAGACGAAACATGTTAAATGTAATTAAAATACAAATGTGACGTCATACTTTGATGTTGGCGTACAATTATTTCAAATAATGGTACGGGCAATGTGCCAAGCGTACTACTAGTTGCAATATTGGACCCGCGTGACGTATTTCATTGAATTGCACGTGCTGGATAGTGTCTGTTAGATAGATAGATAGATAGATAGATATCAATATACTTAATGTCTCGAACTCGACTATTAAACTACACTTAATGTATGACAGATTCGGTATATCTATATAATTGTATTAAATTGTACCTGTGCTTACAAACACCGCAAGAATGGAGAATGCTGATCACAAAATGATGATATATTTGGTCGTATTGAAAGCAAAATGTCCTGCTATACTCTTCTTTAAAATTAGTATTGGCATAGTTTCCGATTCCTTTATTATTTAGAATGAAACCTGTAAAAATCAAATTATATGCATGTGGTTCTGTATGGATATATTTGGCAGTGTTTTATATACTATTCAAAAAAAGTAGGGGATATTTGATTTTGGGGGCATAATACTAAAATATGCAAATGACTACGAAAAAAGTCACTATAGAACCTAACAGAAGAAACATTTCCAGTTACATGTGACGCCCAAACGCACCAATAGCTACCGCATGGAATGCAGGTGATGCTTGGGATCATCATGGGGGTCCAACCCAAGATTTGCACGACTCTGACTTTGAATGTTAAAGTCATTGTGGCATTGAATTCCAGGGTGGAAACATCAGTTTAATTGTTTTAGTGACCAGAAAATAAATTTTGATATGCGTCGGCTTACCCAAAATGAAAGGTTACGTGCCCTTGGCATGCTACAGATCGGCACAACACAGGCGGTTGTGGCGCGGGCGATGAATGTTTCTCAGTCTGTCATAAGCAGGCTATGGTCCAGACACCTTGATACACAATCTGTACAGGACAGACCACGCTCAGGTCGACCAAGGGCGACAACTCAAGCTCAGGATCGATTTATCCGTACCTTGGCCTTGAGAAATCGTGTCATCACAGCAAATCAGATCAGCGCTCGTCTTCAAACAGACACTGGTGTGAGAGTGAGCGGCCAGACGATTCGGAATCGACTGCATAGGGGTCACCTGCGCGCCCGACGTCCTCGCGTGATCCCTTGTTTGAGAGATCATCACATTCAGGCAAGACGTCGTTGGTGTAGGGATCGTCAACACTGGGATAATCGACGCTGGAGCAATGTGATGTTTTCAGATGAGTCAAGGTTCACTGTTGATTTTTTGGACAGACGTAGGAGGGTGTGGCGTCGTCGAAACGAGCGCTTCCAAGACGTTAACGTCATCAGACATGATCGATTTGGGGGTGGTTCTGTTATGGTGTGGGGAGGCATCACTGTTGCTGGAAGAACGGCTTTACATGTTGTGTTACAGGCCAGTACTACCGGGACAACATCTTGGCAGTCCATGTTGTGCCGTTCGCACGACGTCATGGCCGCCGTTTCATCTTCCAGGATGACAACGCAAGATGTCACAGGGCCAGGATCGTTACAGGTTACCTCCAACAACAGAACATCACCACATTACCTTGGCCAGCACTGAGTCCCGACCTCTCCCCCATCGAGCATGTCTGGGACATGCTTGGACAGAGGTTACGTCAACGTCAACAACGTCCTGCCAATGTCCAAGAACTTGCTGCTGCGTTGCAACAGGAATGGGACAATCTGGACCAAAATGACCTTAGACGTCTCATTAGGAGTATGCCACGTCGGATCAATGCTTGTTTGGCAAACAGAGGAGGATTTACCCGTTACTGACTTGGTTGTGATGCTGTGGTAACTTTGCTGTTTGACCCCGGGTATCATTTTACCCTTATACTGGTCAGTCTGTGCCTTACTTAGTCTAACGATCATTTGGAATAAATCGATGAATGTGAACTTCATTTCATTTTGTCATTTGTTTCTTCGTCAGTTTCATTAGGTAACTTTAATAACACTTAAAAATCAAATATCCCCTACTTTTTTTGAATAGTATATTTAATTAATGATTTCAACACAGATATTTATAACCGTATCCCCTGCAGTTGAAATTTCAGTCAAATCCAGTCACATAAAACCGAATAAATAAAACCCTCCTGGCCGTTAACTTAATTTTCAAACTCTCGGGGCGGTTGTGGGGGTGGGGAGACGAATAGACTAACGCTCGCGCATTAGATCATAAGGTATATCAATGAGTCAAGCGGCATGGTTTCGATTCCAAGCTTGTACGTGTACAAGGAGTATGTGCTTTATTCTGGTTTTCCGGTTTCCTCCCACTGCTAAATACTCCTACGCACAAGTGAATTATTGAAATAAAATTGTTATTCTTGAAATGACTATGTTTGTGTCAAGTGGACGTTAAACACCATTTATCTCTCTAAGGTCTTTTAAAGTTGAAATATAGAACGAAAAAATATCCCAAATCGATACTTCTTACAACACGACTCCATAAAAGTTTCTTCCATGGCTATTGTTCACGGTCAACATTAGCTTCCGGTTATAATTGAGATTCTGACAGAAATTCCGATAACCAGGAGCAGAGCGCCATGTTACTCTTAAAATTTCCTTGAATCTCAGTTTGTTGCTTGAAAATTGATTTCATTTTTTGACTTTAGCCTATTTGTAACGTCAAATGTATTGAGAGCAAATTAGGGCGTTGACAAGATTGCTCCTGACTTTTTATTGTTTGCTTTTTATTTCAAATCTTCTGGAATCTAGATGGTTAAAAAGATGTTTGCATCTCGTTAATATATTATAGCCTCCAGTCGGAACAAGATAATTTAGAAACGAGTAAAAAATATCTTTATTGATATTATTAACAGATATTATACATACATAGGTCAAAATAAACAGAGTTATCGTACGTCAAAATCACTGTAAAGGCCTGGACACGCTTAGTGTGAATTGGTCTTGAGTGCTTTTTATTGGACGGCATAGGGTACAAAACAGCATCCTTTATCATTAATCTGGTTGGTTCAGAAAACCCTATTTCTTTTCATTTCATTTAATAAAATCACACATATACATATACATTATCTGCATCAATTTGGAAATAAAAATAGTAACAATTAGCTTGCAGTCTGTTCGTGTTGAAACAGTCCAATCACCATCCTTTTATATCTACAAGGCCATAAACAAAATGTACAAACGTAATTTGATTTCAGACAACCAGCAGCTTACCGGCACAATGAAACCCAAACCAGCTCCAATAATTTGATATTATTTACCCACCATTGATTCTAAAACAGAAGCATAAGCAACCAAATTTATCCAGCTGTAAGCTGGATGTGTAAAATAGATATCATATCAACAATATCACACGATAATACAAAAAAAAAACCAAAAAAAAAAAACCAAAACAAATAATACCATGAACAAAATAAGGTCATAGCCCATAATATGTGACTCGTGTGCAAAGTGATAACCGTTATGTTGATACAGCATATATGTACATAGATATTTAATACTAAAGGACTGTCAGATATTTAAAATTTCTTGTGATTTTTTACGTTGTTACGAGAGGTTTTAGAAAAGATGAAGACCCATGGGCTTCAGACAAAGCTTAAATTATAACCTTACCCAATACTAACCACCAATAATATTCCATACTATCTCAGTATATCATTATTATCGAAAACTGCCAGAATACTTGGTTCAATGCCAATGAGTCAATTCCACGAAAATGCGCAGGAATCTTCAGTTTTTTGTTTGAGCAACAAAGTGTGATCTTCGTTTGCAGTGCATTATGGCATCAAAAATAAAAATACACCAGTTTGACAGTGTACGGGATATATTCGTGATATCTACGACATCCCTACCCAATTAGAAGGATAATAATCCTGTTTATTGTATTGTTTATCTAACCAAGTATTATTTACTGGAAAGTTTTTAAAATACACAGCTTCACCACCAGCTAACCAAGCACCCCACCAACCAAACGACCCGGTTGTTACTATATTGTGGTCACATAGAGACAAAATGGCAAGGTCAACTTCACGTGAAACTCTCATAATACTGAGATCTTTAGATTTTATATTTGCTTCACACCATTTGACGTCATCAGACACCACCACAAACGACACCGCTCCAAATTTCCGCCTGAAGTAATCCATCGATCTATTCAGATACCCAACATCCGCTACGTTGTAGCCTCGTTTTAGTTCGAATCTCGAGTTCATATCTCCACGACGTACGTGAACACCTATACGAATTTGTCCTTTTGTAGGAAGCAGCTTATTCCTAGCTTGTTTTAAAATGTGTTCCTTGAACTTGAGCTGTTTTCGTAAAACGTCAACCGATGCATGAAAATATTTCCATGACTGAAAATAGCCGTTTAATGTCCAGTTTGCACTGTGCGTAAGATTTGTGATTCGGGTGTCGTAAATACCAGCTCTCTTTTCCGAGAAACTTTTTTGATTGATTAAAGTGGGCACCTTGGTTTGTACATCGCTATCAAATATACTCTTCAGAGAAGATAATTTTGAAAGGACTGGGGTATATCGATGTTGATCAGCGGTACCGATTAGAGCTGCAAATTGAAAGAGATGGTTGCCAAGACGACCCATACTGCTACTGGAAACAATATAATGATTTTTCAAAAGCGGTGTTCGTGCCCTTTGGACCGGTAAAACACCAATCACTGAGTTCGTTGCTTTTGGGAAAATACCATTTCCGAAGGTTGAATTCCAGTGCTTTATTTCAATAATCCTTCGTTTCATTTCCTCAAATAAACGCGGCTCTTCCATCGGGTTTGTCTCACCTAATAAAGTTTTTGAGTAAATCATCAACCCGACACCGAAACCCAAGATGAGAAAGATACTTTGTCGCCATTTTCTTCTGGCAAACATCGTCCACAAATAACTGGCATTCTCGTTTTCTAACAAATATATACCGCCTTAAACATGTTTACGATTGGAACTCTGCAACATCAACCTGAAAGACATAAAAAGTATTAGATAAACACATTTAGCTTGGAGAAATAAAAGGATTTATTCAATGTCTATGAATAACAATGAAGGGGCTGATGGTTTCTCTACTCAATGTGAAGACGTTATGTCTGTCAGTAATTTTCATCCTAATATAATCGGTGATATTGGAATTGTCAAGACTATTATAAAACAGACCGATTTCACATCACATCAATCTTAGCTCAATTTCGCTGAATATGAATAAAATGATAACAATATGGTGAAATCTGAGAAAATGAATTACACTTCTTGATTTAAAATGCAATGCATACAGCGCACATTGTCATGATGTCATTTTAAAGAGGAATACAATGAAAGTTTAAGACCGTATAAAACCGAACGCACATAATTTAAAATAATCCAAATCTATTGCAGTTTCAACACAAGTCATAACTATTCAAGATACCATTCTCGTTTGGTGAGTTCAGCTATACCCGTCTTTATGCGTCGTCATAGCATGGCCACCCTCAACAACCCAAAATATACACTCGTATTATCTAATGACACCATAACGATGTCTGAAATCAATTGCTATTAAGTTAATTCAATAAATGCAGGCCACTGATCAGTTCCCTGGAACAGGTAATACATTCGTCTAGACACATAACGTTAACAAGGTTAAGATATGTTTATCTTTATACGTTTCAGTAATTCTCCTGTAATTGTCCTCTCCATAGATTAATTAAACCTAATTAAAATAGAAACAAACCGACTCAAAAACTAGATAAAAATATAATAAACGTTATACTGCTTTAAAACAACCCTTGAATTAACAGAAATCAAATTAAACAATGTATTTATGTTGAAATGTTTTAGCGACACGACAGATACAACCTAGCAATTGGTGAACTAGTACCCAGTTGAATAACTATAGAAGATCTGCAACGGCTCAACAGAAGTAGATGCAACTCCATCAGTGCGTTGAAATGGGTTCTGCCACTGGCATATATAAACCCGGGGGAGTACCAGGATGCTTTACTTCACGATACAGGCCGTCTCGGTTTCCAGTTTAAAACAATTTGAATCTAACAGCTTGACAATCCAGACTACACAGTAATCAACCCAGTCACTTCTAGGGTCTAAAACTACTATGGCCTTTTTACATCCAATTATATACTTCACGCATATTCCCAAAAGAAAAACCCATCAAATTTTTAAAAGATGTATTAAACATACATTATGAAAGAGCTAAATATGCCTATTGCAGGTCTTTCTTTAGGCCTGAAATGTTATAAAAACTATTAATTATACATTAATTAACTTATCCAGACCATAATCAACTCTCGTCGCCAGCCTGCGATATTGCTAGCCTGCGATATTTACTGGATTTGAATCCGATCTGCTGCTCAACGATCATTAATGATTTAATCTAAAAATGTAGAATCGAGACTATGTTTTTTTATCGTACCGACTTTAGTAATGATGATCGAGACTAGGCCCAATCGCTAATTTTTCGGTTCCTAGCGGATCAATTTGACTGAATAGTTTTTAAGTATTATAGTGAGAACTGCCGGTTCTTTATCTAATCTTCCATAACGTATCTTTAAGGCATATTTAATATATTTAATTTAATTAGTGATATGTTTTAGAATGTAAATTATTGATAAGTATGCATGCCTTATTATATTCTATATCACTCAACTGCGATATGTATATGTTAAAGATACATTATGGGAGATTCGATAACGAGTTGGCGGTTCTCACTATAATAGTTAATAGTTAAAAACTAGATAATCTAAAGGCCATTTGCTGAAAATTTCATTCAAATTGATCCACTATGAACCGAGAACTAGCCTCGATCATCATTACTAAACTCAGTACGATAAACAGCATATTCTCGATTATCCATTTAATGGTTAAATCGTGAAGGAAAGTTATGCAGTAAATCGGCACATGGTCTGGATAGGTTAATTAATGTCTAATTAATAATTTAGATAACATTTCAGGCCTAAAGAAAGACCTGCAATAGACAGATTTAGCTCTTGCATAATGCATGTTTAATTTTTGATGCATATATTTTCAGGGTTTTTAATAAAGGTTTAAAAACTGAAATACCTTAGTCTTTATTGAGAATTCAAGACCCCCGCCCCACAACTGGTTACATTTTGGCGCCCAACGTTCTGGATACAAGGTGCCTACAGAGTAATGATGATCGAGGCTAGGCCCAAAATTCAATTGCTAATATCTCGGTTCAGAGCGGTTCAATTTCACTGAAATTTTCAGCACATTCCCTTAACATTGTCTAGTTTTCAACTATTATAGTGAGAACTGCTAACTCTTTATCTAATCTCCCATAATGTCCCTTAAACATCAAACTAGCGCCTGAAATCAATTTCTGTGATTTGTTACAACATAGTTCCGTGTTCGATTAAACTTGAAAGTGACTTAAAAAAAAACAACAAAAAAACACGATTCTCTTCCTATAATTTAGTTTAAAACAACGAACAGTGTTAAATATCTATTTTTCGAAAAAACGTATTGTTATAATCGATGGACTAAAGATATCTGGCACCAACCTAATTATAATTTCAATCAAAAATATATTTCTAACAAGATACAAATTAGTTTCCATTTATTTTAGAGGTAGCTTATAAATAATAAATACATACTTATTACTAGTAGAAAAATCGATGGACAACATTACAGGGTTTAGTATTTAAGTGTAATCTAATATTATGACGCTGAGTTATATAATTAAAACTATGTAAGAAATAATGTGCCGTGTTAATTGAATCCGAAACTAACACATTAATCAAACACTGGGAAAGTATTTCATTATTGTCCTCTATTCGTCTTTCTCAACCGTTATTTCTTAGAAATTTTACAAGTAGCGCAAAGCATTGTCCGCAGAAATGATTTTGTGTGTTCTGAAATCACTTCTCATTTGAGGGGTTCATGTTATTGGATATTTTTTTATATTCCTAATTATAGAAGATAATGTATAATTTGTGTTATCTTTGTAATAGTGTTCATCTGCGTTTAGATATTGTGGGATCCGCGCTGGCTCAGTAAGGCGTTGGCTCGCTAACCTGGAAGTCCCGTGTTCGATCATCCCTGGAAAGGTCGAGAAATTTTCCGACATGGCATTACTATAATTACTAATTATATTAAATAATATTATGAACTTCATATATAGATACAATGCATACATACTTTCTATGCCTTATTTCTTCAACAATTCCAGTATGTTTCAACTGACATCCACATAGTAATGATTGGTGATGTTCAAGTGTGTGTGTGTGTCTGAGTATATATATATATATATAGAAACATATTATTTGTGATCAACATGAGAAAATATTTATCGATCGATTGATAAAGTCGTTTGTCATAGGTTTCTTTCACGTGGCAAACAATACATTAACGAGGCTATTTATGTTGGAAGATCCCTCAAAACCAACCAGATGGCAATTCTTTGTACGGATGGAACGGATATTCTATGAGAATAATTTTCTCGGGGAACTCATGGTATTTGTATAAAACCTATACAAAGCCTGCAGATAAAAAAAAACACGTTCCTACCATTCCTGACAGACCCAGTTTAATGAAGGTATTTTTAAAACAAGAATATCATGTACTGGAAGGAAAAGCTAGGTTTGGCAGGTCTTGGTCCCGATATTCCCTAATTAATTGTTGTCTCCCAGTACTGGTCAAACCAAACCAAGATAACAACTAACACTAGACTAAACACGTGGAGCGAACCAATTGCTGTCCACTAATATTTCTTCTAATTCGAATATTGACTTTAGATAGTAAGGGAAGGAAGACCGCACCACACAGAACCCATAATTCAAAACCGCGGACAAGACACGCAAATCCACAGACAATGCAAACAATAAACAACAAACGTATATAGACCAAGTGCAGAAATCCAAGAAAGTAAATCGTTATCGCTTCATGAGCCCATTTGCCACTCGATCACAACTTTTAATATTGTATATCAAAATAAAGATTTTTCCACTCTAATTCCACTGAAAGCAAATCTTTAAATAAGTTCCGAATTCCATCAATATGGTTATTTTTGTTAATTCAAATACAGTTAAGATAATTTTGTTATCACGTGCCAGGAAGCATTATCTATAGAAAATGTCAATAAATGTATTTATAAATATAAGACCAATCCTAATACTCCATTACAGCTTTCGGTCAATATTTATAACCAGCTTAAATATTGTGGATCAGATTAAATAACAATTTGTAACTCGAATATATCGTCGTGAAAATAACATTGTATAAAATAATAATATACAGTACGATAAAACAGAATTATATCAAATCTGTAGGTATCTTCATTTAGGGTTATGCGGATTATGCTTTTAACTTTAAAATAGCACGTTAATTCTGACCTGCGAAGCAGCCATGGCGGGTTTTACCTATAAATGTCGTGAATAAATAATTGCCAACTATATAAGTTATAAATTTAAAAACATAAAAGAGATTTAACGAAAAGGGACCTGTTGTTAAAGGCTGTGATTTTAAATGAACACGTTAATTCCAGAAACGAACATACAGATCGTACAGTTTATAAAAAAAATATCAGTTAAATTCAAACATTTATAACTCGCAAAGAAAGGGTATTATAGAAAATGGAAATACGAGAGCTGGCTGATAAGTTCTTAGCCTAAAAAGGATAGGTCAACTGGGTTGAAACAAACTTTGACCACCAACAAGTACAATCATTGAATGGATCATTGACATACGAACTGCAACCGTAGTGTTATTATTGTTTCCGTGCCAGACCGTCTTGTGAACCTACCCATTGAAATCATCAGAAAAGAACAAAACTGGCTATAGGGCAGTCATCAAGTACCAGCAGCTGAAAGGCATAACCCCAACACAAATACATGCTGACATGGTCTCCACTTTTGGAGGACAATGCCCCCGTCCTTTTTCACAGTAAAATAGTGGGCTGCAGAATTTAAAGTAGCTAAGTCTCTTACTCAGTATTATCCAAAGTCTTCGACA